ATATCGGAGAAATCCTTTCTTTTTAGTCTTCTTGCATATCTCGGGCTAAGAAGACCTCTCGCTAGTTAATTAACCGTACTGAGTAACAGGCGCTTAGCCCTCTTATGTCCTCGTGTATTACATTAATATTTTTGTGGATATTCGTATTGTTTATGTAATACGGTGCTCCGCATATGGCGCGTAAAATTTTTGACTGCAGTCTTTGAAGTCTGTTCAAAATGGAATTGCCAGCTGTGCCTCAAAGCCCAATTCCATATACCGAACATGGTTCAACCATCATATTAAAAATCAACATCTTGTTTTCTAGGCTTAATTTAGACTAGTAATAATCCCCGAAAATCGGGGTGCTCGTGGTCTAAAAATCTGGATATTTCTTTATTCTAAAAACCACAGGCATTGCTTTTGGTATTTAACTTTAACTTTGGTATTTTGCCAAGATCATACTCTGCTCAATAAGTATACAAATTATTAATTTTATTGCGGACGCTACATTAATTTTGAATTGGCGACATTTCAATACAAAAGAAAGTGTAGATTCGCTGGGCTGTTAATTTATATGGGATAGTATAATTCGAGTCACATGTTTAAAGTCCATTAACTAACCCTTTATCTGTACATATTTAGGTTGTGGATTAGCATCACAACTGCTCTAACTTTTAGTATGAATTCATGCGTTGGAACTCCCCTACTTCTACTTGCTCCAGTGGATATTCTGAAACGACAGTAGATATCGACGCCATTTCTATTCCGGACAACATATTAACCATTTCTTTATTAACTATCGTACAATACTTATTTTGTGGACGCGAAATTGATCGATCCTTCAAGTGGTTTTGATTAATTACACCAGGCTGAGTTTCAAATACCCAATCGGCTAAATCTCGCAAAATAATCTCTTGTGGCACTAATCTTAATTTTTGAGTCTGGGGAGAGTTCTCGCCCTTCTGTAACCCCCAAGAGGAAACCGAAATAACCAGATTCTCTCAAACGCATATTTATCGAAAGTTTAAAATACTTTACCGTTCCCTCAGTTCGCCCGCCAGGATATTTTTAAGTTTTCCAGCATTTTCTAACCACACAAAATTGAAAATAAAGAAATGAAATTGTTCAAAATTTGTGAAAATGAGAATGCGTGTGTGAGATTCAGTTTTACATTTTAAAATGGCTCAATGTAAAATTTTAAAAATCTTTCCGTGCAAATATGTACATCTAATGATTTTTAAATCTGAAATGTTTATGCAAATTTTCAGATCCAGAAACTTAATTTGAAAGTAAATTGTCTCTGTACGATTATATATAGATCCATATATAGATTTATAATACAAATAGAACCATATTTGCCTCAGCAAAAAAACATAGAAATAAACTATGTAAGATTTATATATGCGTTTCTGTACAGAGGCAAAACCAACATTTTTGTTTTGCAGATCTTCCGCTGTATCACATTCGCAGGAACATATGTAGCAATGCTTTGCTCGATATGAAACAAAAACAGGGAAAATAAAATACATAACGTAAAAAAATATTTTTTAAAAACAAGCTTTTATTTAACATGTACAATCAAAGGAATAAAATAAAGTAGTGTAACAAAAGATTTTTCAGCAAGAAAATTTTGTCAAAACTGCACTAAAATTAATAAAATAAAACAAGTTAAGGTCTCGTTAAAGTTACTAAAAGCCATTTAGTGAAAGGAGTTATTCAAACTCGAATGAAAATTACTAACAATTTATACTAATTTACTTCGTTTTTAAAAAAGTTTGTCGCGCGAATAGCAAACCGGCATTTAAATATCTGCATACATACATATACATACCTAACCAATTATGCATGTACGCTGAATTCGCCGAAAAGCTTTTTTAAAAACGAAGTAAATTAGTACAAATTGTTAGTAATTTTCATTAGAGTTTGAATAACTCCTTTCACTAAATGGCTTTTAGTAACTTTAACGAGACCTTAACTTATTTTATCTTATTAATTTTAGTGCAGTTTTTGACTAAATTTTCTTGCTAAAAAATCTTATGTTAGACTACTTTATTTTATTCCTTTGATTGTACATGTTAAATAAAAGCTTGTTTTTAAAAAATATTTTTTTTACAGTATTTTATTTTCTAATTTTCAGTCCATTTATAAAAGCGTTGTATATTAAAAAGTGTTATTTTATTTTATTTAAAAAATTTTGCAATAGATATTAAAATAATTCAACTTGCAATGAAAGAGAACAGAAGACTATGCAAGCAAAATGTTGTTTGCTTACGTTTTGTATAAACATACATACGTACATATAGCAGCAGTTAATTCCATTTAAAGAAATGGAGTGTCGTCCATTTCCTCTGTAGCGTATGAAATGGTGCATATATTTAGGCGCAATATTTAACTTCTTCTGGCGGGGCGACATCTGGAGTCTTCTAATTGTATCTCCTTCATATGATGCCTACAACGAGGTTCATATCTAGACTAGGTTGATATCTAGAATTTGCCACAAATAGCTTGCTACACTACCGCCCGCAGCTTTAACAATTTTATAGTGGTTTTACGTTCTTTGGCAAATTACGCTCTGTTAGCCACAAATCTTACTATTTTTTGACCGCCTTTGAATCAAGACCCCTGGACCATATAGGGAATTCATTTATATTTTAAATTGCATTGTCATCGTGATTGGAACTATGCTGAAAATTTCAAGTCTCTAACTTGTCGGGAAGTTAGTTTAAAATCGATTGGAAATTTCCACGATTTCCGCGGGATGACCAAGTTAAATAAAAGCTTATAAAAATAAAGGCTACAGCGCGGCAGCGATGTTGTTGTTGATAGTGTGTATCATGATAAATACATAACAAGGTAAAACCATTGAGAGGCAGTCTGACGTTTGCCAACAATATAATTTTAAAATCAAAACTCAAACTCAGACACACATTCTCATTTTCAATCCCAAACAACAACAATTGTGAACAATTTAATTTTTTTATTTTCAATTTTATATGATTTTAAAATGTTGGCAAACGTCAGAAAAAAATCATGGCCGACGAATTGAGAGAATGAATTTACCTTGTAATGTTTTTATCATGGTGAGTATGAATGTATGGATATGCAACAGTGATGGAAAATGCACACTGTGCCATTTTCGGCACTTTCGGGAGCAGCCGGCACCTTAAGCACAATCGATTGATTTTCGGCACTATTTTTGCGTAACTCAATACAACTAACATATATCTATCCGCAATTAAAAATATGTTTTTTAAATTTGATCGTATGTGCTTAAACTAATAAATGATATAAACATAGAAACGCAAGCAGAAGAAGCTAGCTTCCGCGTTCTGCATATACGCTTAACATTTTTGTTTAAACAAATTTGTCGCAATTTCATCTCTAAAGCAAATATTAAATATCATTTAATATACACTTTAGATTTAAATAATCACATACCTATTTTGAATATTCTTTGTGGAACAGAAGCCGAAATATTTCTTACTAAAGAAAATTCTGCATAAAATAAAATTAAAATTGCTTTGCAGTTTAATGTTAAATTTTGCCAAGAATTAAGAAAGAGAACCTTGATACTGAAATTTTAAAAGCCGTTACGGCTTTGGCGCCAAAGGCAGTAAGCTCTGACGATACGAATAACATTGATTTTTACGAAAAAAAGTACTTCGTTATAATATTGCCATATATGTAATACTCCTATATTGGCAGTAAGAGCTAGTACCGTCCGAAAACACTACAGTACAGATATATCAATAAACACGTACGAAAGAAAAGAAACAC